AGGACATGTTGTACTAACACAGGCTGCAGTTCAATAGTTGGTGCGGCTGGTTGGTCCAAGCTCACGCGTGCACAGCCGCTGTATGTTTGCTGCTGTGCACGGTAGGCTGTGCATAAGACACAGTGTCCTTTTGGGAAGCAGTATATGTTATTTTCCATCTGCATCGAAGATTTTCTTTTCTTTTTTTTTTTTTCCCCCATTGCTTTTCCCGCACAGCATCAAAGCTGTGTTCCAGCAGGTCTGCTTTGTGTTGATTTGATTGTGTCGCGTGCTTCGGGTTTGCAGCTCTCTGCGCTTTGGATCTGTCTCACCATCAAGGTCCGTTTCCTTTTTGTGGCTTTTAATAATTTCCTGTGATGTATTTGCTCGTTGTTACGGCTCTATCGAAGCTGGATTCCTTGTGCTCTCGGCCTCTATGCCCCAGCTTCACTTTTGCGTAGGCTTTGCTAGGAAGAACAACAGAAGGAGCACGGCCTGGTTGTAGGGCTTTATTGTGGGCCAAGAGCAGAGCATTAGGCATGTTTGTGAGAGGGTGATATAGCTTGATGTCACGTACAAAGAAGCAGGCAGCTGCGTTCAGTCCTGGGGCTTAGGAGCTGGAAAAGGCACAACAAGGTCTATATACTTCAAAGGCAGAAAGTGGAGTAAGTATGAGTATTCCTGCAAAACGTAGCTGATGCCTTGCTGCCAGTTGCTTGAGAGTCAAGAGGGCAGAGCTAGTCACTAGGCATGGTGACCGGTCTGATGCTGAGAAATAACATGACTAATTTCTCTTCACCATAGCAAACCTATCGTGATCAGCTTTGACATGAGCAGATTTCAGAGCACTTTACAAAGCAGATTTCTACTACTATGCTGATTTTGTTAGAAGGGAGAGTGGAAGAGCAACCTGTCTGGATTGCCCTCTTGGCCCTTACAGAGACAGGGGTGAAACCAGGATCGCTGAGATCCCCTTGCAGTGCTTTATCATCCCCTCAATGTAGTTTAAAGACTTTGAAACTTGAAGCACCAAGCTCATTCTCTCCCTCCTGGTCTCCTGGGAGAGTGTGTGTGCCTAGTGGTGGTACAGACCCTCCTGTGTGAGGAAGGTGGGGGATGATGTCCCAGAGATGGGGAGACCCACACGAGTCAAGGGGGACTGAAAGACTTCAGTGTGTGCATCTGCAGCAACTGAGAAACGTTCACTGAAAGCAGAGTTGCATAGTTGAACATTTGACGTTGAGGGAACAGAAGCCTGCAGCCTTCCTTCTGTGCTGTCTTGTACATAGGTGTTGTGGTCTTTAGCTGCTTCATTTCAGCCTGGTGACTGTCTTTTCTGCAGCATCACTTTTGTTTGCAACAGGAACAAGCTGTGATCCAGCAAAAAAAAACCAGTCTTTGTTCTTGTGCATGTTGAGGATGGGAGCTCAGTTGGGTAGGCTGGACTGATCAGTGATCAGTGTGTCTTGTGATATAGCCTGTCCTTTCTGTGTGTAATCACTTCCTAATTCCTTCCACAACCTTTCTGATACAATAAAGTGTGGGTTTTTTATCTATTTGCAGCCCTCCCTTTACCCAAACCCCTGTTCCTGGAAGGAAGAGTCATCCCAAAGACAGTCTTGATTGCATGGGTAAGCACTCTGGAGGTTTGTATTTGTTTAAAAGTATAAAAAGCATGCAGTAAAGAGACTGGATAAAGGCTATTAGAGAGATGGCACTGCATGAAAAGTGATTCAAAACAATCAAGCAAATCAGTTCCATTGCCTAGGTTACACTTCACTGCAATGATCAAACATGAATATTTTCTAAAATCAAAAGACCCAGAGCATCAAACACAGGCAGGGCTGCTCTTGTCATCATTAACCCTTCTTGGGGTTAATGGGGCTAACCTTTCTCTGCAGCAATAGTGGTAGCACTGAAGAACCTTTGGGCCTGGTTTAGGAATCAGTTTACAGCAACAACAGTCCAAACTGGGTAGCAAGGGCCCTGAAGTAAATGGATGAAAGCAAATAAAGCTGTTGAAAGATCAGATATGAGCTCTGTGTTAGAAGAAGGTGCTGAGGAGGGTGTTGCTCTTGTATTTAGAGACAACCATGAGGTGCTGAGAAGCTGGAAACAGCCTTATGGCATCATCTTTTGTTTCTGTTAGTTTCTGTTAGTTGCACTTTCAGGATCCTACTAAGTTCATGGCAAAACCAAGTCCCAAACTCTCTTGGGAGTTAGTTGTACCTCGTTAACAATGATCTGTAATACTGCAAATGCTGTTAGAGAAAACGTGTTGGTCACTTGCAAGGATCACAGGTTACTGCTTAATCACTTAAACATCCAGCTGGTTAAGTCATGGAAACTGTAATATTGGAATGACTTTCACTACTGAAAATGAACAAATGGCAGTCAGCCTGTGGCATGGTATCTCGTTTCTGGCCCCAGGCAGAATTTCTAGATTGAACCGTAGAGGTGAAGCTGCAGTCAGTCCACGTCACTGAAGGTTTTAATACATCCCAAGTGGCAGGGGAGGCATTTTGCTTTCAGACACCACTCGGCATCGTCGCTCACATGTGGCTTGCTGAGAACCTCCTGACCTGTCCCTGTTGCTTTTCTTGCTGTCCATATTTCAGCCATTATACACTCCTCTTGTGCACTGCTGTAATGGGGAAGTCATGCTGCAGTGCTGCCGAGGCCAGGAATGGTCTCCAAGGAGCGGCTGCTGGCCCCAGGCTAAGACAAACAAACAATCAGAATGGACTATGTCATTAGAGTCGAATGGAGGAAAAACAGGAGGTGAAAGATGGGAGGGAAATGACAGATATTTTAATCTCAGGTTGCTCAGTGCTACTAGCAATGGCTTCCTGAGCTGCATTTTTTTATTAAAAAAAAAGTCCTTATCTCACATGTCCATCTCTCTCTCTCTCATAATGTAATGTCTCATCTGAGCTCTGATGGTCTTTAATCCCTTCTGTATGTTCCAAGTCTATCTTTCTAGCATTTAATCAAAGTAAATATAAAACTTTGGAGCTCTAGGGGTATGAATTGGTTTCTGGCTTTCAGAGGTCAGGAGTCACATCTGAGAAGAAAGAGAAGAGGGATTGTTCCATGTTAGCCAAGTGCTGGATTTTTGCATTTCCCTGGAAATATTTGATATCAGAGCAGAGGTTTCTAAATAGGTGGATCTGGGCCTGTCTGCCTGACAGTTCTGTTTCCATGCTAATTTTTGCGTTTTCCACATGCCAATAAGATGTTTAGTGCTCTGTTTTGGAAACCAGGTATGGTTGATGTTAATCCCCTGCCTTGTATTTGACCAGTGTGAGCCAGGGTCTGTAAAGTCAGTGGGTAAATCTCTGATCGCTTTAGGGGGACCAAGACTGGTGTGGATAACCCTTGTTTTCCACTGAGGAGTGTGTGACTGTGGACAGATTTCAGGGTGAGCCTTGGGGAATGTCTGGTCGTTTAAATGAACAGCTCGTTACCTCGTTCTTGCGTGTAATTCAGTGTGAAAACCAGAATACTTCCCGTAAGAAATACTCTGGGCATTTGATACTGAGCTGGTCTCAGAAACGCCTCTCTTCTTCCCTCCTGTCAGATTTCGACATCCCGTTCTGCGAGAGGTTTGGGAAAGGTGGGACCTTCCCGAGGCAGTATCACCTCTCCCAGAGTCGCAAGGACTACAGTGATGGTAAGAAAATGACGGAGGACTGGGGAGGGAGGTGCTTGGTCCAGGATCTTGGTGGCTTGTGACAGTGCCTAGGACTGGAGAGACTTGGGAAGGAGAATTTTCCAATAAAAGGAGAATCGCCAAGTAATTTGAGATTAACTGATGTATTCTGAAGAACATTCTCTGTGAAATGTTGCAGGTCTGCTCTCGGGAAGTGCTGAGCATCTGCAGTGTGTGTGAAAGCCAGTGCTCGGCTCCTCCTCTGCTTATGCCAAGTGTTTTAACTTAGCCACACAGATGGGTAGTGTTTCTCGTGCCTGGCAATATCAACCTCTCTGTTCCTCTAAATTGCTTGCCTCTGAGGATGCTGCTTTGTGACCTTTGCAGCAGGTTTCACAAAGCTGTACGAATCTCCTCACAGTTTCAGGGTAGCAGTATCTGTTCACATCTCTGGTTTAAACCAGTGAGCTCTAGGGACTGCTCCATCACCGTGTTGCTGCTCCTTCTTTTGCTATGTGAGACTGCAACTTGTGGGAGGCAAAACTAAATAAGGATCAAATTCCCTTGGGAAAAAAAATACTGAGGACATGCAGACAGTGTATCAAGCCTTCCAGAATGAACTTCATCTCTCACTGACACCACCGTTGTGCAAGCAGTTATCCTGAGATCTGGCATCGCTTGTGTGGTCATTTGTATTGTGGTCTTAGGGGGATGGCAGGGATAATTTGCAGTGTAAATCCATGCCTGTTCAGAGTTTAATTGTGATTAACAACCAACAAAAACCCTAATGTCATTAAACTGTTGCAAAGCCCTCTGCAAACATTGGCATTAGATGTAACACCTGCTGCTAACAACTCTTAAATTGAATCAAAAACATTCACAGGGCTTTGCTTCAGTTTCACTGAGCTCGTTTTGTTTAATTTGAAGAGGTGCATCACTGGATCTGGGCAGCGATGTGAGAAGGTGGTGATAGGTAGATCCAAGCTGGTGTGTGCATTCTTGCCATAACTCTCCTCCTTTTCTCCTACAGGCCGGAGGACTTTCCCCAGGAGTTACTTCCCACAGGAGAACCTGTTTCAGCTTGTCCCCTCTAGCCGAACCAAGAGCTTTAATGGGGACAGCAAGCTCAGCACCTTGCAGTACGACGAGTACAGGCCCAAATGGTGGAACAATTGTGAAAAAGGTCTGCAGGTCTTCAGCACCTCCCCTACGAAAGCTAGGAACTGTAAGTGAATCAAAGCTGCTAGCGTCTGAGGTCTCAGTGTAGCTGGGTCTCAACACAAAATTGAGTTACCATCACCTGCTGAGTTAATGAGCATCAGCTAAGCTAACTGTGTGTGAATGCACCCTGATTCCATTCCCAGCACGAGGCACGCCATGCCAGCTTACAGCTCAAGGAGGAAGATTTATTACCATGCAATGTACCTTTGGCCCTTAGTTGAGAGCGCGTATGCGGTCAGCTGGTGTTCATCCCTTGCTGAGTTGCAGAAAATTGTTTGTATGTTGGACTGTCAAAGTGATCGTACAGCAGAAGCTTCCGGGATACTTGGGATATGGGAGCAAATGTATGCAGAGGCTCTGTTCCTTGGCTTACAGTGCTATGGCTCTGTTCCTTGACTTACAGGAAAGCTGGAGAGGGACTTTTTAGAAGGTCATGTAGTGATAAGACAAGAGGCGCAATGGATTTAAACTGAAAGAGGGGAGAATTAAATTAGATCTAAGGAGGAAATTTTTCACTCAGAGGGTGGTGAGGCACTGGAACAGGTTGCCCAGAGAAGTTGTGGATGCCCCATCCCTGGAAGTGTTCAAGGCCAGGTTGGATGAGGCTTTGAGCAACCTGGTGTAGCAGAGGGTGTCCCTGCCCATGGCAGGGGGGTTGGAACTAGATGATCTTTGAGGTCCCTTCCGACCCAAACCATTCTGTGATTCTATTGCCCCGGCACCCAAAGATGGTGTTGCAGGCTGCTCTGGTATTGCAAGACTGCCTGTGCTATAGAAATTGATGGATTCTGGGCTGTTTGGTGATGGATAACAACCTCGGAATGACCAGTGAGATAAAACTTTTTTCTGGTCCCTACCTGGGTTGCTGCTCAGCCATGCTGTATCCTGCTAACCACTCCTATAGCAGAGGAGAGAAAGTCCAACATTAACTAAAAGCAGCTTTTGGAGGAAGGACTCTTAAAGAAATGTGACTTTTCTGGGACTTGTTTCTGCTTTATACTAATGCAGACAGGGAGACGTCTCCCCTAGATACCAGTGGCACTAGTGCAATGAGAACTGGCTTGTCACAGTGCCCTGGGGAGAGGGTGGCTCATTGCTGCCCTGGTGAGCTCGTTGCGAGCCTGATCTGCACTCTGTAGGGTCAGATGGACCCTGATGCTGAAGTCTCCCTGCTGTGCTCTTCTCTCAACCTTCTCCTCTCTTGTGTAGCCCTGCAGGCACCTGTGAACTGGAGGCTGGGGAAGCTGCTTGGAAGAGGAGCTTTTGGGGAAGTTTATCTCTGCTACGATGCTGACACTGGCCGGGAGCTGTCAGTGAAGCAGGTGCCTTTTGACCCTGACAGTCAAGAGACGAGTAAAGTGAGTAGGAGGGCAGGACTGCGTTCTGCAGCACGTTGGGGAGTTGTGGGCGGGAGGTGGAGGTGGCAGAGGGGTCTGTGTCCCTGGTGGAAGGCAGTATGTGGAGACAGTATGTGTTGTTTGCCCTCTTCGGAGCAATCCCAAATGGCTTGTGACCCCGGTCAGCATGCTCTGATGACTTCTCTGCTTCCTAGTTCCTTGGTCATGTTGACCTGTTCTGTCTCAGGTATCATCTCTTGCAGGTCTGTTTGCTCTTCCTTAGTTTCAACCCTCTTGCTCCCTTCACCTCCTTCCCACTCCGGGCACTGCGTTAGCTCTGCTGGTGTCTTCGTTCACACCTTTACAGAAAAAAAACCTTGGGCACAAGTAATAATAATGATTAAACCTGTCTCAAAGCCAAGCCTTTTGTATCCCATCTGTCCTCCTTACCTTTTTCTCAGGGTAGTGCTCCTCCTTTCTGAGCCTTATATGGCTGATGTCCTTGTGGGCAGCTTCACAGGTGCTATGAAAAGAGCGCTCAGCATTGAGCAATATTTGGATAATACTCCCAAAGTCACCGTTCCCTTTCGACATGAAGCATGTCTGTTTTGTTGCAGGAAGTCAATGCCTTAGAATGTGAGATTCAGCTGTTGAAGACTCTCCGTCACGACAGAATAGTGCAGTACTATGGGTGCTTGCGGGATCCTGAGGAGAAGAAACTGTCCATCTTTGTTGAATACATGCCAGGGGTAAGTGTGGTTCCTGCTAAGGTTATCCTGAGAGACGGAGAACGGATTTAGATTGTCCTGGAGTTTGGTGAAATTTAGATCTGGAGTTAAACCGTACAACTGAGCTGCTCTGTATCCAATGAGCCAAACCAAAATGGTAGATTTCAGCATCCATATGGCTTGGGACAGCTTAGGTGGTGAGTCAGGTGTCATGGTGAAGCTCCTCAACATGCAGTGGGTGAAATCAAGAGCCTTGAAGGCAGGTTTTAGGTTTGAATCCTGGAGCAGGGTGTGTTCATAGTCTGGAATCTGAACTTGGTGAATGTGGGACATGATCCAGATCTGGCTCCAAACACTGTGGCCCGAGCCCGTCCTTAAGTACTTTCTGCGAATCCCTGCAGGCAAAGCTGATAGTACAACTGTCCACCCACAGCTGTCACCAATTATTTATGGCTTTCAGCACATGTGTATTAAAAACAGTGTTACTCACTTGTAAGCCTTTTCTCTTCAGGACAGAACTTCTTGTTGGTAGCATTAGCCTCTCGTGTGGGAGTGGCTTCATTTTGTGGCTTTGCAGACACAGGATAAAATAGCCCTAGGGAAAAAGAAGATCAGGAAGCTTTGAGGGGGTCTAAGCAAGGGCTGGAAAATGTATACAGATTAGCTGAACATCTTTCTCTGTTTGCGAGCATGTGAGTAACTTCAGCCACCCAGACAAAGTCTTCAGTTGGTATTAACCAGCAAATGCTATTTGCATTGCCAGAGGATCTGTTCTCCGAAGTCCCGCCTGTCCAGCTGGATTCATTCCCCAGAGTGTGGGAGAGTAAACCCTTGTTTATACAGAGATTTGTAAGGTCAGAAGGGACTATTAAGTCATCGGGTTGCAAATAATTTTGGTCATTACTAAACGCGCTAGAAGCTCTCCTAACACATCTTGCATGTGAATAATCAGGTGGACTTGCACGCATTCCAGTCCTTTCCAAGCCTGGTCTTCCCTCTCTCCTGTGGGCAAGTATCTCACTTTGAGGCCTTATCATGAGGCATGGACCCAGAGGAGTAAACCCTGGGATTTTCAGCAGTCCCCTTGCCGCTTATTCTGCAGTGTGCTGATGTTTGTTAGCAGCCAGGAAGCCAACATTTGGTGCTGGGGCAGTGTCCAGCAGGGCTGGAAGTTGAATGTTTGTTTTTTTAATGATAAACCAGAGCTCTGACCAAATACAGATTGACTTTCGTGCTGCAGCGATGGCTCGTTTCACAAAAGCAGCTCAGGGCTTTGATTTCCAAGGCCAGTGAAAGTGAATGAGTTCCCAAACCTTGCAGGGCAGCATCACCACAATACTGGCTCTGGCCACTCTTCTGATGTAACACAGCCAGCTTGGCAAAATCTTCACGGGACCAAGCTCGAGTGTACCATTAGCCTGGTAATCTTAGACTGCCTCCATTAAATAACCGACTCTGTATTTTTTCTGTCCTGCCCTGCCCATTCAACTATTTTTGAACTTGTACTCAAAATGGAATGGCCTATCTGACCAAAGGCTTTGAAGACTCTGTTTCCCCTTCTTCAGAATCATGTTTGGTGTTTCCCCATCGGTGTGGGGGAGGCCAGGATAAGAAAGCTTGTTCAGGTTGTGGGTGAGGGAATATATCCTGCATACAAGTTGTATGACGGGGTAATTTCAGAGCATCTTCAGCAGCGCTGTGAAAGGGAAAGGAGAGGCCCATCCACAGGGTCACCACCAGCCTCAAAAGAAGGCCAAAACAGTAGCTGGGCAGAGCAACAGCAGAGGTGGGTGGATGTGGAAAAGCCGATACAGTTTGTGACTGACCTGGAGCAGAGCATCCCACTGTTCCCAGAAGAGAAGGACTATGGCAATCTTGGATCAGTCCTAGAGCTGCAGAACAGGCAGAAACAGGATGAGTTTCCCCTCCTGTTCTTCAGCCAACCTGAATGCTGGAGGTAGATCTGGGTGCCACCTCTCTGGTTGAACCCCAGATCTGCTTCTGGTTCATCCCTGCTACAACCCAGCTCTGGCGTAGTGAGAGACATCCCTTTCCAAGTGGACAGAAAATAACAGCTAAAACCAGGGGGGTCAGTGTCTTGCAGATGGCAGATGTCTGCACCCCTGCTTCCTTCCCTCTCCAATCAATAAAATCAAACCAGTAGGAGACTGCATGCCTGGGTCAGAAATTCAAGGCTGAGTACTTGCAAGTTGTCTGCCCTGGATCGTCACGTTGAAGCAGTCCCTCGTGGGGCTGGTCATGTCCCTCATGAGTCTGTCTCTCTCGTGGCAGTGGGTAGTCCTTGCTGTGGCAAGTTGTTGGGGAGGAGGCTTCACAGAAGACTGGCTCACCAGCTTGGCTCTGAAAAACTAGTCGAGTTGATCATCTCACTTGAGTTGGAATTCCTCATCAGTTTGGTCCTTCCCTGTGAGCTGTTGGGGATGTCCAGCCACTAGAGGGGGAAAAAGATCTGTAGTGTTGGCACGAGGTGGCACTGATGTGTACCAGAGACCATCCCTTTTTCTCCAGTGGGATCTGGGACATTTAAAACAAGTCCATGCTCCGTGCAGCACTTAGTGGATTTTTATCTTGCTCTTTCTACAGCAGAGTGGCTTTTTTAAGCTGGGAAATAAAGCGGTCAGGAAAGTTTAAAAAGTCACTGCAACATGATGCACCTGGTTCTGCTGGTCCTTACGCTTGCTCCGTGTTGTTTCTTTGCAACAGGGCTCAATAAAGGACCAGCTGAAAGCTTACGGTGCTCTGACCGAGAATGTCACACGGAAGTACACCAGGCAGATCCTGCAGGGAGTTTTCTACTTACACAGCAATATGATTGTCCACAGGGACATCAAAGGTGAGTAGATAATACAGAGAGGCTTCTCGCTTGCTTGGGTTTGTTCAACCCAACCTGACCCCAGTATAAATTCTTGTGCAAAACAGTGCTGAGATCTGATATTTAAAGTACTTTTGCTCCTGGCCTTCACCAACTTGAGCCATGAGATTCTTGAACGAGCAGCTGAAACCAAAATCTTGTGCTGTCTTCCTGCTTGAGAAGCCCAGGTTAAGTACTCCTGAGAGGGATTATTGTTACCTGCCCTTACGTGTCTAAAAACCTGGTGTAACATACCCAAGAACTGAGACGCCTTGGCATTCAGAGGGATCTGAGGCGCTGTTCTGCTGCTTACGTGTGGGGAGCATGATCTGTCGTCTCCCGTTCACTGCTCACTTTTGGGAAACCTGCTGAGTGATACTATTCACTCTGAGGATGGGGAGGCACTGGAACAGGTTGCCCAGAGAAGTTGTAGATGCCTCATCCCTGGAAGTGTTCAAGACCAGGTTGGATGAGGCTTTGAGCAACCTGGTGTAGTGGAGGGTGTCTCTGCCCATGGCAGGGTGTTGGAACTGGATGATCTTTGAGGTCCCTTCCAACCCAAACCATTCTATGATCCAGGAGAGCTGATGAGAGTCAACCTTCTTGGAGAGCAGCTGCCTTGGGAGAGGAGGGATTTGCGTAATGCTGAGTCCAGCCCCACCAAGGCTCTCTCATGTCCAGCTCTTTGTCTTGGCTGTTTCTGCTCTCCTCACTGTAGCCACTTCAGTTCAGGTTGCTGCTTCATCTCTTGGGGTTTTCGTTATTGCTTTTTCACCTCTAGGTGCCAATATTTTGAGAGATTCTGCTGGAAATGTGAAACTCGGAGATTTTGGGGCCAGCAAACGCATCCAGACCATCTGCATGTCTGGGACTGGGATTAAATCTGTCACAGGAACGCCATACTGGATGAGCCCAGAGGTTATCAGTGGAGAAGGCTATGGAAGGAAAGCTGACGTGTGGTAAGGAATACAGTAGAAACCCCACCACTGCCACTTAAACAAGTGATCCCTTTGGGAAGTTGGAATGGCAGCAGCAGGTATAGCTAGTAGCTGGAAGATGGAGCAATGCAAAGGATGGAAATGGGAACTAAATGTTAGGATCAACTGTGCAGATACCAGAGGGAGCATGTCATAGCTGAAAGTCCCAAAACAGGAGCACTCAAAATCATATCTTGATTTTGGAAGCTTTTATCATGCCTGAGGGCCATGTGTAGCTCAACCTCGTAGCTGCTCTTTAATTTTGGAAAGCAGGTTGATAATAAAGAGCTGTTGAGTTTTGGTGGCTCTGATTTTACCTCAGCTAAACCCAGCTCAGAGGCTCAGGAGGATGTTGTGTGGCCTCTCAAAAAGCACTGCTGGGTGTTAGCATGTGGCTTAGGCATGGAGACAACCGAAATCGCTGGCTGCTTGTGAATGTTTTGATCTGTGGAGATCCACAGATGTCAGCTGGAGCCTAAAAGTGTTGGGATAATGCTCCCAATAAATGAGCAGAAAGCACTGCTTACATAGTGTGCTTTCCGTTGGATGCCCAAGCAAAAAACTAGTCCCTTCATTGGAGGCGTTGGGGGGCAAACCTAGGGAGTCCTTGGCAGGCAGCTCTGCACTGGCTGCTCTGGCTGATGGGAAGGTTCAGTTTTTTAGGAGCAGCTATGAGTGGAGATAGCAGAGAGGGTCCCTGCTGAGATAATGACTCCTCAGAAAGCACAGGGAAACCTCTCAGGCTCTTTGCTGCTCATCTGACGTGCTCCTTCTCAGGTGCACGTCAGAGATGAAGCTGGATGAGAGTGAACAGGTTTCATTCTGGCTCAGCTTCCTGGGGAACTTGTGCCTGGGTTTCCCTTCAAGGCACTCTTCGATAAGATCTCACATGTTTTTATGAAACTTAGTATCTGCCAGTTGACATAGACACAAAAGCCACCAGTTTTAGGGCAAAGCTTGCAAGGTCTCTCTTGCGGGTGGAGAGCTGGAGACCTGCGCCTGTCTGTCCTGCGGGTTTGCTCCCCACAGTCCCTTCTGGGCAGGCACAGTCCTGGAGCTGATTAGACTTCGTGCAGAGCCACCCCAGCCCCTTCTCTGCGGTCTCACCTCTGCATGTTTGGCGTTGTTGCAGGAGCGTGGCCTGCACCGTGGTGGAGATGTTAA